ACCACAAGGAAATAATGATATTATTATACAATATAAGCATCATCCATTACACAGAGAACACAGGATCAAAATAACACTAAAATACTACAGGCAGGGGGCCCTGCCTGGTTACAGGGGTCCAAATGCTCAGGTGCGCTCTGAGGTCAGAGAGATAAAGTCTCTCATGAGCAGACAGATCTGAAATGTGTTTCTGTGCCATATTTCCTCCTCATTTCTGTCATTTGAGGGCTGATTCAGTAAATTTGGGGCCCTAGGCAAATACAGGCAGGGGCCCCTCTGAACTGAGAAGACAACACATAAATCAGACTCATTCTACAGATAGAGAAATGTTAATAGAATAGACATGCATTATCTGTTCTAGGTTTTGTCCCTCTCTCTCCTTGTCCCTTTTCTTCTTGTTTTCCTCTCTAGGTTTTTAAGTGAAAGGATTTTTTTTTAATCAAAAACAAGTGTGCAAATAAGGAATAGTTGTATTAACCATACATGTAAAAAGAGTTTTATGGGCCCCCCAGGAACTTGGGGGCCCTAAGCAACTACCTAGTATTGCCTAATGGTAAATCCCCCCCTGCATTAGACTGTAAATGTATTAGTCTGCTGCCGCGAGCGGGATACTTCTTTACTTGGCGACCACTAGCTTGCTTTACGTTGCCATGACAATGTAACCTACGTATTAATTATGCATCAAATTAATTGAATAAAATCCAAATAAATGTAATAGTAAAATAAAAAAAAAGTCAAAATCCTTTCCAAAAATATTCATAAGAAATTTATAAATTGTCCAAAGTCAATTTTTTTTTCAATTTTCTATTGATCCTTTCCTTCTGCGTCTCAGCGGTGTAACAGCGCCCCCACGCGGCGAAGACAGGGAGGAGCGCGTAGCTACATGACGTCAGGAGGACGGTTCTCTCTGAGTGTTTTTCTGCATGTTTGTCGGAATGAAAACAAACTGAAAGCAGCAGCAGGTCCTCCGCCCGTGTGCGTGGGTTAGTGTGTGTGTGTGCGCGTGGGTTAGAGTGGAATACACTCTGACATGTTGAGGCAGAGGTAAAGGTGTGGCGCTGCGAAGGAGGAGCATTAAGTGTCAGAGGGAACAGTTTGAGGATTCCTCCTGCCGTCACTTACAGGAGCAGCTTGTTAAAGGAGGAGAAGCTTCTAACTTCTTGGAGATCTGAGCTCCAAGGTCGCTGTTCACAGCCTGAACTGGATGGAAGCAGCAGGAGAGGAGGTTTTCTAATCCGCACCGTGTGAAGGTAATCCCATCCTAAGGTTTGTGTGTCTGTGATGATCTCCTGCCTGCTGCTGTTTGAACAGGGAACATGTGTCCTACTGTCCCCGCCTGGCTGGAGATCCCACTGCTTTAATCCACCAGCAGCTGGTAATCTGCCATAATCCGCTTTCACTGGCAGATTTTCTAACTTTCTTCTCTACAGCAAGATTGGTTCAAAGTTCTCACGTGTTTTTATGAAGTTTAAGAGCAACAGCTGGATGGTCCACTGATGATGAAGACAGAAAGAAGACAAACAAGCTTTTCTTAAACTTTCTGTTTGCTGCTACATGCTGATCCCAGGATCCGCATCATTTTCCAGCCGGCGAGGCGACGGACGGCGTTTGAACGACGCTCCAGGTGCCGCGATGCTGCAGCGACTTCAGAGCTGAGCCTCGGGCAGGGGCGGTCCTAGACCAAAGGTTCAAGGGGGCCAGGAGGGGGCCAGCGTGTTTTCATTGGAGCACAGAAAAGCATGAAGTAAAAAACAGGGCAAGGGATTCAAATATATGATAAGAGAACTGCATGAAGTAAAATTTCTATTCAATTAGGTTTCATTAAAATTCTATTTCTCATTAGGTCTATATATATTCATATTGATATATTTAATATATTCATATATATTGATATTTATTCATATATATTAATATATTTTATATATTTCTATATAGTATTATTTTAATATATATGAATATATTTGGGACTTTTACATATTTTTGACTTAATTTAAGTTCAAATTACTGTTTTCTTTGAAATCAGATAAGTGCTAAAGAAAAATTGATAAATTCAGCTGTAAAAAATTGTTTTTAAAAAAACATTTAGCAGATTAAAACTGTGATTCTATCTTAATACCACTGAATCTATCACCTTATTATTTTTAAATAATTGTTAAAACAGAATTTGTAAAGAAAAACTGAAACAGATCCAAAGGAGCTATCAGTCACCATGTCTGTTCCAGTGCAGATCATCATTAGAATTTCTTTGACTATTATGTCTTCAGTACAGGGGCCATAACAGGGGCCAGGATGTGATCTACAGGGGCACTGGCCCCCGTTGGCCCCTGTCTAGAACCACTCATGCCTTTGGATCTGATTGGAGACCAGCTGAGATAAAAAAAAAATGGCTTTAACCACTTTATAGAGGAAAAATAAACAACTTAGATCCACAAATATCACAGTGATTAATTGGATGCCCATTCAAACTATTATTAAATCCATATTAAATTCAGGTGACCTACATATTAATAAACTATAGATTTTCTAAACCCAAACAAAGAAACATCTAACAAAATTATTTAATTAATGGTTACAGTTTACAATATTTAGTCATATCTATAATAGGCTTCTGAAATTAAACGATGCCTGGCCTTTATGAAAAACAAATCTGGATTATAAAATGTTTCTATGGAGCCTCTTAACTAAGGGATGTTGAGGAGTTAATTTTTTAGCCACAGCCTCCCAATTATATATGAAATATATTACATATATATATTAAAATCAGAATACATGTAATAGTAAAAAAAAAGATAAAAAAAATTATTTCCCAAAATATTCATAAGAAATGTACAAATTATGCAAAGTATTTTTCCTTATAATACATTTTTTTTTTAAAATCTCCCTCTGACCACTAGGGGGTGCTGCAGCAACCCCAGCATTCCTATTTCCCGTGGACCTAAGATGTAGTCGTTTGCAACTGAGGAAAACTGTATAACGGAAATCACCATTTTGGATATTTCAGGATATTTTCCAATGAAGCTTTTGACCGATTTCCCGTCATATTTGGGTTTTGACTGGAATTGTTGCAACAAATTAAAGAACCCTTCATATAAATGTGTAATAAAGCAAGGTGAAGCCGCGGTTGGTTTTTATTCCTTTCTGTTTCTGGCTCATTGCTCATTTTCAGAGCGTATTTTGCTGCTGATTTAGTTTAAATTCCAAGATCGGCCTGTTTTCCAGTGTAGTCCTGTTTCTCTGACTGTGACTAACTGGATGTGCTCTCTTCATCCTCTGACATGG